GTTTGCAGCCGAGTGTGAAGAGGCTGGGATGAGAATCAGCACCTCCAAATCCGAGGCCATGGTTCTCAGTCAGAAAAGGGTGGCTTGTTCCCTTCAGCTTGGTGGGGAGTTCCTGCCTCAAGTGGAGGAGTTCAAGTATCTTGGGGTCTTGTTCACGAGTGAGGGAAGGATGGAATTGGATATTGACAGGCGGATCGGTGCAGCATCAACTGACAGTTTTAACCAAGAAGGATCAGCATTGTCCTTCAAAACATTGTTTCAATGTCCTACTTATCAAACAACAAGCAGCTATTTTGACAGTCTCAGTTTGTGGAGGCCTGTCACGAAAACTGAAGCCAGTGGAACACAAAGGACCTTCAGGGTGAACAGAGGAATGATATACCTGCAGCGCTTTCACCAGTGCTCCATTTCTGCCAGCTTCTCCCACCAGAACGACCCTTGTCTGCACTTTCGGCAGCATATCTAAGAGAGAGGAAGAGTGACAGTGAATGCGAAGAAAAAAAGAAACTAGGAATGAGAAACAAAGAACTGGGAAAGAGACAGATGAAGGAGTAAGGGTGGTGATGTAAGTCAGGAAACAAAGTCAGACAATAACACTGCAGCATATTACTGATTGAGGGGAATTTCAATGTGGCCAACATACAGCATGCTCCCTTTAGGAGAACAAAAAGCTTATTTCAATTTCCACATAAAAGCTGTCCTTATTGTATTTGGAAACAGCATGCTATCTACTGCTACCAAAGTACTGAAACACCTTTGAGCTTTAAAAAGTAAATTGTTATTTTATCCAAACACCAGAGACAGCAAACTCTTTAACACTCAGTCTGTTATGAGAGCAAAGTAAAAAGAAAAAACTGCCCAGCTGCCAGTTTATTAACAGTGTTTGAACAGCACAGAAGTCTGGGCATCTTTGCTTAGACTGCTGCCCCCGCGACCTGGTCCCGGATAAGCGGAGGAAAATGGATGGATGGATGTAGTTTCAAAAGCAAAGTGACTACAAAGACGTGCAAAAGCTCACTTTGTGCTCACTTAGCCGAAACCCCCAACTAGAATAGATTTATATTTAATTCTTTTTATTATACATGATAAATAGAATACAGATCCTGCCCTCCCTGAGAGATTTCTCCTCACTGTCACACGCAGACATTGTAACACACTAACAGGCAGAACTATCCAGATGTTTGTTGGAGGGCCTTTACAGTCTGTACATCATACAACAACCTCTGTTCCTAGACCCTCAGACCGAATCATGGCACATGTCTGGTCCCTGTTTTGCAGCCTCTCATGTGGTGAGTTTTGACGGCGACAGGAGCAGTCTAGTGTACAGGTTGAGTCCCGGGCCAAGGAGGACGTCCAGAGAAGTTGTCTCTCTGAAATTTAAAACCCTCAGGAATTCTGGGACACTGTTGCATGCAGAGGGACAGGCGGGACAGGAGGGACTCAGCCTCAGTCTGGAGTTAGAGAGAGGAAAGCTCCTGCTGCTGCTCAGACAAGGTACTACACACCGGATACTGACAGATGCTGACATCTGTTTATAAATACTTATACCGTATCAACTGCATTGGAGTTTGACAAAAAATGTGCATAAACACCAGACTTATCTGCTGGAGGATAGAAGGAGATAAGGTTGTTTACCATGTTTACCTTTAATAGGTAAAATAGCAGCCTGGATAGATCAGATTTATGATTAATCTTTACCTTGACATCCCATATATAAAATAAAAATGTAGCAGGTACACATTTCTTCTGTCAGGGAGCCTGATGTCTCCACCTGTATCCTCTAGCAGATGTTTCTCCTTTCTCTCAGTGAAAACATTCTGCTGTTTCGTTTTCTTTCCCGTCATGTGCAGCCATTTGTGAGCTGCTTTGTGGTACATATAGTCCTGTATGTGTGTGGTACTGAACATCTGTATAAAGTGGAGGACAATATAAACCCTCTGAAATAACTTCAGCCTTGCTATGGTTGGGTGAGATGGCTGATGCGCAGGCCGACACCTGATTGGTTTCAATCTCGGCTCACTCTTTGCTGCTGAGTCTGTTATGGCCGTGATGGATGGTTCAGCGCATCATGTGTTAGAGCTGGACACAACTTGATGCATAGCTTACAGTCTGTCACCCAGTGTCAGCTGGGATTGGCTCCAGCCCTCCCAATAAGTGGTATAGTTAACGGATGGATGGATGGACAGAAGTAGTGCATTTTAAAAATAAAGCTACCAGGAATAAAAGGTGAAATCAGACATTAACTCTGGGAATAGAGTAGATTACTTACTTTACACCACATTCACGCAATTGAATTCAGTGTAGAAATAACAGCATTAGCCTACACTGGCAGTTTTATCTCAAGTAAATTACTGTAGAATTAATTACAATACAATATATAACTGTCACTGAATTACAGCAAGGCCGCTGCAAAAATAACAGTAGCTTTTTATTTACATTTCACTCATTCTCTCTCTCACTCGCTCATTTTCTACCGCTCAGTCCCTGAATGGGGTCACGGGGGGGCCGGAGCCACTCCCAGCTGGCATTCGGGCGAAGGCGGGACTCATTCTCCTCTTGAGCTAATAATGTTCGGTATTTTACTACCGCTCCATATCACACTGCTCTATTTGCTGAACCACACCAACATTTGAGTGATCAGTGAAACCTAACGATTTAATTTAAATCCCTCTTCTAATTCTTTAGTTTAGTTGGAAATGGATCACAAAGAGTGGCAGCATCATCTTTAACACTGGTCTACCATGAATCAAGGCTGCGTCACATTACAGTAAAACAGCTGCACCTCAAAGACCGTCACTGTGAAGCCAGACTGCAGCTCAGTGAGGGGAGATTAAAGTCACATAGTCAAATGATCTGAAGAGCTGTGCTTCTGTTGGGACAGACAAACACTGAAAACAACAAGCAGGCTTTCTTCACTTTTGTTTCTGTTCTTTTCTGTCATAATTACTGATGTTTATCTTGGTTTGCTTTCTCCCATTCCTTTATTTATTTCATATCAGAAGAGGCTGTTTGCCTTTTCGACTGGACACTTCATCTTCCTTTGATTTGACACTGCTGTGTACTTTTAGCTCTTCAATATGTTGCTGTTACTCTTTACCCTCTTCTCATCCTTTGTCTTGGTCAGAGAACATTGCTCATCATTTCTCTCCACCTTCCTCTTAATTTTTTCTCCCCTCTGTATTTCCCCCACCCTTTTCTGTACATGGGCTTTTTGGGTTACAGATTGTTTAGGTCGCCTGCACTGACCTTGAGCTCATATGTGGTCTACTCTGTTCTGCTAACACTAACACATCCGGGAGCAACCCTGAGCTCATACATTTCACTTTATGAGGCAACTCTGAGTAACAGCTCTACACTGAAACAGCAACTCTGTCCTGGAAAAGAGAACAACTGTAACAACAGTTAGAAAAGTGAATGCTCGATGCTAAACCTTTGCATTTTACCTCATCATGTGTGGTAAACTGTAGCGTTTAAGTTGACTGAGTTAAGGCAACAGAATCATTAAGATACTCTAGGATGCATGATAAATGTTATGTTTGGAGCTTGATAAAGGCCGTCGCTGTCATACTGTGTAATCACATTTAGTACACAGCTGTAATGAATTTGTATATGATACAGAGATATTTTGGATAAAAAAAGCAGAAAGCTGCAAGAATGAGACAAACATTTCTACAGTAGTCTGACCTCCCTCAACATCACATTATAGTAATTAGCTGTTTTTGTCCATTATTTATTTAAAGATTTTGCTGAGCAGACTCACACAACTTTTACTGTGTACAAACATGTTTTGATTTCTGAGACCCCTCGTGACATTTCCCCTTCCCTACTGTCACACACTGATTTTTATTGGTTGTTAATATTTTCTAGGCACATTCATGCTCCCATCATGAAGCAACCTATTGATTTTTGGTGACCCTCATCCCCATTCATTTAACAGCCAGTGACTCACTGACAGTAGATTTTACAAGAGAGATCCCTGCTGTTTCATATTCTACACCACAGTTTTTCCCACTGGGTCCAAAAAATGAAATTATCAGTCATAAACCTACATGTGCAATCACTTTAAACAAGATAGGCTGGGATTAATTGGCACTGAAAAGGGACTGACAGAGAGCACTATATATTTATATCAATTATTTTCTATTTGTTTGCCCTGTGATCTCTCAAATTGATTCCTGCTTTCTCTTTCCAGCCACAGAGCCAGTAATCAGACCATGTATTCAATGACACACTATCATAAAATCCTCTCCCTTTCTGTACCTCCTACAACATAATAACTATTCCATTAATCAGCGACTAAGCCTCCTCTCATATTGATTACACCGTCTCTTTCCACTCATTCAGACTCTAATCACATAACTCACAGTAAATGTTTTGACAGGACACTACGCTCTCTGTATCATGAGGCCCACATCCTATCACTCTCTAAGGATGCTTTTCTCATTCAAGTTGTAAAATTTGGCTGAAATATTAAAGATATGTTTGTCCGTCATTTTCCAGACTGTCTCTGTTTCTCTCCCTGAAGTTACAGTTGACTGTCCCTGAAGCATATGTAATTAATTTTTAATGACTGCCTGTATGCAGCTCTTTCTCTAGTTCCTTCTCTCAGCAGAAACACAAACCTTCTCTCCCACTACTTTGGGGGAATGGATCCACTTATTTGGCACTTATTTGGCTGGTGCTCATCTATCATTAATGACGTCTCACCATGTTTCATCTGTAGTTTTTCAGATCGGGCATTATCACATATTTGGCATCAGTTCTCAGTGCAAGTACGCAGATACCCAGCAGTTCCTAATGAGATGAGAGAGGATGGCTTCACTGTGATCCTCCCTGTGGGATAATGAGACAATTCAAATATTCATAACAATAAAGAAGTTTCTATTAGGCTGGTGCTCACTTCATGAACAGAAATCTTCATATTAAGATCAGAAAATTAAATGTTTTATTCCTTCTTGTCTGTTAACTCTCTTCTGTTCCAGGTGGGACTTCGCCCTCTGAACCCCGACGTCTCGCTTCTCTCGGCAGCCTGTTAGATGATCAGCACTGGCACCGTGTAGTACTGGAGAGGCAAAGTGCTCACCTCAACCTCACTGTGGATAAACACACTGAGACAGTTCAAATCCCCGCAGAGTTCAGCCACTGGGACATCGAACAGGTGGGGTGGAACACACAGAATATACATCCAAAATTAAAAGTTACCTTAGCTACATTATACTGTACAGTGGGAAGTGAACCCTTTATGATCAGATTTTCAGTAATAATTGTTCATAATATGTTATCTGATCTTCATCTAAGTCACAACTAAAGACAAACAGTTATAATGATTTATGTCTTTATTACACACACCCATTGAACATTAAGTGCTGGTGGAAAAAGTAAATTGAAAATTTTACAATTTGCCATTGTAAAAGCAGAGTTATTGTACTTCTATTAGCTCATGTGAACATAAACCTCTGCGTTTCTCTGCCCAAACAGCTGAGTTTAGGGGCAGTCCAGAGCCTCGGTTCTCAGAAACCAGCCGTGCCCAAGAGGAACTTCCATGGCTGCCTGGAGAACCTGCTCTACAATGGCCTCAACGTGATAGAACTAGCTAAACACAGCTACCACCAAGTTACTGCAATAGTAAGTGTGTTAGGCTAAACACAAGTTAGCTAGGTTAATTAATAAAAAGTTTAAATAAATTTAACTGCCAACTTTTACTGCAGTTTATTTTATGGGGTTATTTTGTCAGTTTTGTATTGGTCACTCTTGCTGAGAATCCATCCCCCTGTGTGTGTGTGTGTGTGTGTTCGATTCCCTTTGTATCCCCGGGATTCAGTCTTAGTGGTGAAATATTGGCTTTACCACTCAGACGTTGTAGCTGCCGGTTGATGCTGTTAAATGAGCTGCTAGTTGGTTAATGAAGCCACGACAAAGGATTGTAAATGGTTAGACTCTCATTAATGCCTCCTCATCTTGGCCATTAGGACCTTCAGATATTTCTACATTCATGATGAGTTGAGCGAGCGTGTCAAAGGAGAGGCTGTGAAGTATTTCTGTAGGGATTAATAAATACTTTCTCATTACGGTAAAGATCCAGACAGCAGAAAAACATGAATTATTGATAAAGAGGATTAGAGATTCAAAGACGTGTCTGAAGAAGTCATTTTGTAATGGTGCTGTGGCTCTAGCCAAAATGTTATGGGGCAATTTAATGCAGAGATTAAATTGTGCCTTATACAGCCTTGTGAGGGGAGCAGTAATATAAAGAAATAAGAGTAGGTGGAGGAGGATTGGTGTGTCAGGGCTGGTGTCTTAAGACTTTTGAGGGTTTTTAAAGGTAACATTTTGCTTTGTATTGTGCAGCAGCACAGCCCACTCCAACCTGAATTATTGTACATCACTTTAACAGCACTACAAAGGGCTTTTAGATGGCATCTGTTTCCAGAGCATTATAAAGATAGCAGGCTTACATTCCCATCAGAGAACTGAAACTGTAATATGTTACTGCTGCAGCAACGGCCCTGGTGTCATTACCACTACTCTATACAATGGACTGCTACGGTGGTCACGATATTGTAATACTGGGTTTATTGCATGCTGTCTTTATTTCTTTTTCATTCTTTATCTGTCTTACTTCCTACTGTAGGTGACTTTGGTATTTCCAGCTTGCTAATCTTATCCTAAGCTCTGCTGTTATCATTATGGTAATACTAGTGTCCTCTTTAAGGAGACTTGCTGATGAGATCAGTGCGATACAAGGTCACTTTGACACACCCTCTGCAACCGATTAATATTCATGTTTTATGTTGTTTTATGTCTCTAGTAATCAATGTTTTCTGTTCCACCTCCTCTGGCTCCACTTTGCATGTTTCTCTCAGGGCAATGTGACCTTTTCTTGTGCTGAGCCAGTTTCCGTCGCTGTGACGTTCCCCGGCCCCCAGAGCTTCCTCCAGGTACCGGGGCCGAAGGTGTCTACATCGGGGGGCTTGTCCGTGGGGTTTCAGTTCAGGACGTGGAATAAGGCAGGGCTTCTGCTCACCTTTGACCTCCCTCAGCAAGGGGGTGTGGCCTGGCTGTACCTGAATGAGGCCAGAGTCCAGCTACAGATTCATAAAGATGGAACGACGCTGCTGGAGCTCAGTGCAGGTTAGTGTACACCCAAACCCTTAATCCAAACCACTGGTCCACTGGTCAGTTGTGACCATTTTTATAATAAATTATGACTGAGGGATGAACAAACAACTAAACATGAGTGCTTCACTAACAATTGCACTTAGTCCAGTGTCTACCTTATTATTGCCAAAGATCTGGTTATCTATCCACATCAGTTTGGCAGAACACTGGAAAAGCAGTAAGCAAAATGGAGGAGCTAATGAGATATTGATCAAGTCCCTTACGTCATACAGAACAAGGCTGGCACCGTCCTGATGGTACTTGGTGGAGGTCATTCAAAAAATGCAGGAACTAAAGTACACGCTTGTGTGTTCTGGACACACTGGCAACCCATTACTACCAAGTTACCTTCCAGCAATCTTTTCTCATTTCTAAAAATAGTTTTTAGTTATGCCCCCAGTGTGAGCAAGATATGATTTTTGCTGGTGCATGTGTTGCAGTTTATGCTGAGAGAGGATATCTAATTTTATCATTACCATGAGTGCCCATGGCTAGAGTGCAGCCATGAACATATGTCAGCAGTGTGTGTTAATGGGTTTTGGGTACCCAGGCTCTGCTCTGAACGACGGCCAGTGGCATTTGGTGGAGCTGAACTCTAAACGAGGTCGTCTGACCATTACTGTGGATAAAGAAGAAGGAGGCACTGCTCACGCCAGCCCTTCATTTCCCGTCACCCTACAAAGTCATCTGTTCTTTGGTGGTAAGAGCGGAACTGGTCAGCTGTGTCTTTCATAGCAATTAAACCCTGTCAAGTGTCAAACAGCCATGTGGAAGTTTTGAGCACTACACTGAGTAGAGGATGTAGAAAATGAGGTGAATACAATAGTTTTTACTTTTACCAATGCAGCATTGTATTCTGGCAAAAAATGGTAAAATTAATTTATTATAGTCGCATGCTATCTATGTTTCTACTTCAATGTTTATTTGGAATATCAATACCCATGTAAGTTTATGCAACATGATATCTTAGTTTATCTCCAATAATTTGCTTGTCATTTTTGCTGTGATAATGTAGTTTCATTTGGCAACAGTTGTCATGTCCTCTTCTCCTTCACTGAAGAGTC